CTCAGCAACGCACGTGTATCTACATTCTTCTACTCACACACACACACAGAACTATCATTACACTACACTGTTAACTGTCACAAACCAAGTTCTATTATCCTTTCTGTACAAACTTTTCATTCTTGAATTCAAATCTTATTCACTGAACTCTGAACATTTCAGCAAGAAAGTTCTTAAGTACATTATTCCTATCTTGCATCAGATATCAGTACAAGGAAGCTACTTTTCTCTCCCCTAAATATTAATACATAAAGCACAATTGTTGTACTCGTTGATTTTCAATATATATTTTATTGTTGAATGCAATTTGATCTCTTGTTCTTTCCTTGTATTCTTTGCAAATTTAAATGTATGTGCTCTCACTAAAAACGCAGCCTCACTAACAACCTCATTAACCATTTTAAAAACAAATCTGAGCAGCACACCACAAGACAGTCAAATTATACAGTGTTAAATAATAGTCTAGCAGACTATTATTTTTTAAATAATTGTATTTCATCTGATTTGCTCATTTTGACCTTTGAGGTCTGATGCAGGAAAACAAAGAAAGTTGTTTTGATTGGCTGAGCTGAACATGGGAATGCTAGAGAGATAGAAAGTGATTTCAAGGGTTAAGATTTGCATGTCGAACAATGTAGACATGTTAAAATTGTGTCTTGAGGCTTGCTCCCCAGTGGGGTGGGACAGCAACCCAACCAGCTTGATAAAAATTACACATTGACATGTTAATAAAATAGATAAGTTTTCAAAATCCCTTTTGTTGAAGTTCTCATTTTACATGATCACCAGGCCAAGAGAAGAGAGAAAGACTACTTTATTATGGTCACCTCAAGATTGTCAACTAAAAGACCTCTCCAGAATAAGGAGAGGTATGCAACAATAGGACACACTATCAGAACATATTTTATTAATTAATCAATTTCAAACAAATGAAGACATCTTTTTAATGAAAATTATTAATAAGATTTTATATCTCTGCTGAGTGGATACCAACTTAAAATAAAATTTAATTAAGATATAGTTTATGGGGAAAGATAAAAATCACATAGCATTTAAAACATATGCAAAATAATTAATCTGTAAAGTTTTAGCTCTAAGCATATATAATTATTAAATTATTTGAAATTATATACTCTTCAAGCAACACACTTTAGAATTGAGTCAAGCGTTAAATATTCATGTCTTTTTAGTGTCTACTATTATGTCTACACATAAGGACCACATATTAAGTAGTCAGTAAGTACAGCATATGATAATACAAGTAGCAGCTGGATGTAGCAGTCCAAGGGAAAGTCATTAAAAAATCTTCCTATGCCTTTAGGATATAAACTCCTATATTTTACAGTCAATAAGTGAAGTACAAACAAAAGATGCCTAAAAATAAATCTTACTAAATTTAGTACATTTTTAAATGTTTTTACAATTCTGTATGAACAGAGCTCCAACAGTATAGACACATGTTACCATGACAACGCATCAGTCAGTGATGATTTTTCTACACTGAAATCATACAAAGCTGTGATGAAAGTCCTGTCTTCCCCTCTTTTTGTTCACTATGTTTAAAATTACTGCTTTTGCATGCAATCTGTCAGCAGTCACACATTTTGATAGCATGTGTGTAACACGCATGTATATATTGGCTTGTTTTTCTCACTTGCAATGAAATCACTTTGAACTTTGCAGACTTACCTGTGACCATTTCAAACAATTGAACTATTGGTCTCTTCAGGGCCATAAGAAAGAACAATTGAATTTTAATATGGAAATACATGTACCTGCCTGTATAAATGTTGTTGTCATATTTGGCTTGGTTTTCTTCTTTTTCTGTGATGATCATTTCTTTGCATTGTTTATAATTTTGTGTTGTATTTGTGGACATGGTTACTCAGATTTTCCACCTAAAATCCGGGTAAACTGACCCCACACTTTCTCTATTCCCTGTCATAAAAAATGTTTTCATTAGAAGAAATTGGACTAAGAAATAATAATTTTTGTAAATCACCAAAACTATTTCTGGAATATAAAAATTTATGATTTACACTTTATTGGTTTCTTTTCCTTTTTCATTGTGAATGAGTTGAATATTTTTTACAAAGCCAAGTCCCCCCCCCTCAACTTTCCAAAGAATCTTCATAAATGTTTCCTGTTTTTACTTTTTACTCGTGACATCAATTGAATGTTGAGATTCTTTTTTCACTTGTCATTTCCCTACTTATGTTTATTAAGTTTAGATTTGATAGCCAGCCACTTTTCAAGATTTGGTCTGCCTGTTGATTGAATACCTGGCTTATTCACATCTGCTTGGCTGATCCTATTTCTTTCTACTATTACTTATATCAACACCACCAGATTTCTCTACTGAGAGCTATTTAAATAAAAATGACTTAGCATCTCTTTAGCATTACAGCATTTTTCTCAATATTTATTGTTTCTAGTGACAACATATATTACATTATTTCTGTCTTAATTTTCATCTGTCTCATATGAGAAATTTTTATATTTCCTGTGCTTTAATTAATTATTTTTATTATCTACTTCTAGATCTCTAAAGTAGGATTGAATTTTTCTATTCTCTCTCTAGTTTCTGCTTGTGGCCTGATATCATACAAATATTAATCCCTTTGCTATTTAATTTTATCTCTTGGATTTTTTGTAAGTTTTCTTATATAACTATAAATGACATTTTCATTTGTTTTAATCTATGACTTTCTAGGAGTTCCAGGCATTTATAGTTTGTGATATTTTCTATTGGTTCCTAAATAGGACTGTACATTTGTCAATGATAAGCTATATTGATAGTGCTAAAAATTCTGTTTCAATACTGATTTGTTTTTCACAGGTAGTTTGTGTGTTTGATTATTGATATTTATACTGGGTTTTGTTAACTGATATTTGTTCTTATTATTGTGAATAATATGACAGTGACAGAAGAGAGAGCTAATAATTATAGACCATTACAATCACTAGGATTTCAATTCTACAGTCTGTTTTCATTTTTATTTGTAGATTGTTGGTAATAAGTGATATTTCATTATATGCTATTTTAATCTTTATGTAGTGGGATTGGTTAGGCTAATACTGCTTGGAAATCTGTCCTGGCTTTCCTGCATCTAAGGGTTGAGGGTAAAAAATTGGGACAAAACACGAGTAAAAAAACAGCAAGATTAGAACGGACAAACTCTCTCTTTTAGGCGCGGACGAATAAAGAAAAAACTCCTGCTCGGTGTGTAACAATAAAAGAAAGTGTTTATTTACATATACAGAAAAAAAAGGGTAAAGGGATAAAGACAATTAAGAATGAAAGAAAAGGAAAAGAGAAAATATCCTTTAAGGGAAGAGAAAATGTTCATAACAGAAAAAAGGCCTAAAAAGTTCTTTAAGCGAGTAGAATTTTGTTAAGTTTTAGAAACACTCACAGTTCTTGTAGAGTAAAAATGTTGGTAGATATAGGAATCTTGCAGTTGAGTGAGTTTTTTGCCAAAAAAAAAGTGAAGTTTTGTTGAAATCGGTTGAAAAATGTAGGAAATCCGATCCCATATATAAACGAACACACACACACAAACAACCTGGGTTTTATAATAAGTATAACTCGATATGAGTTGTCCCTCTTTCATTCTCGTGATGCCTGTTAATCATATTTTCAAATTGATTTTTTGCAAAAACAATTGTGTTTTTTCCAATTTTTGGTGCTGCCAGAACCACCGCAAGGTAATTTTACGTAGTCCTGTGAAGTTTTGTTGAAATCGGTTGAAAAATGTAGGAAATCCGATCCAATATATAAACAAACAAACACACACACACACACACACACACACACACACACACACACACACACACACACACACACACACACACACACACACACGGTTTTTATAATAAGTATGATAAGAATCAGGGCTTCGGGAGCCGGTTTTTGAAAGTAATGAAAACAGGTTGCAGTGAACAAGCTGTGAGGTTTCCACCAGACTTTATGGCACCATAGAAAGAATAATGGTGTTGGAATTCCTTTTTACATTTTCTACCTCTCTTGTTAGTCAGAAAATATATTCTCATCTCTGATAAGAAGAATCAAGGCTTTGGGAGCCGGTTTTGAAAGTAAAAAGAGGTTGGAGTGACGATAGAAAAAATAGCGAGAATGTGAACTTGTAAAATATTGTTCTCAAATTAAATTCCAACACTACTAATTAGCATACCATACCACTATATAGGCAGAACTCTTGAGATAAACTAAGAAAAAGTGAGAGAGTCACTTGTGACGACTATCAACTTCATAGCACTTTATTTTTGCATTTATCTATCTTTTATCATTGTTAAACATCATCATCTTCACTGTGAGTCACTCCTTTTCATATCATCATGCTTTAAATGTAACATTTTTTTTGTTGAATAAGTTCTGGAAATTAAAATATTGCTTAATCAGAAATTTTCTAAAATTGATATACCAATTGACAGAACATAGAAGACAGACACAAACATAACAAAAATGTTTCCATATAAAAAATGTGTTGCCATAGAGTTTCAAAAATAATATTGTCTTTTAGACAATTTTCCAAACATATAAAAGAATAGAAGTAAATTTGAACAAATAAAATCCATCAAAATCTCTGCTAATAACAGTAACAAAAATATCTTCTTATCTTATATTGTCTTCGTTCTTCTTTAGTAGGTAGGTGAAAAATAAAATAATTGTTGAAACTAACATCAAGCGAGTATAGAAATTCAAAGTACCAAGAAAAAAGAACTGATAAAATAACTGATTAATATTTCTGATCTTATATAAAAATTAAGATGCATTTTAATTTTTGATTATTTGCCTTAGAAATTGTTACTGTCAATTTTTCCGGTATAAATATAATTTACCAGCTATAATTTACATTTTCTTCTCGTAAAACAGTCATAAGGAAGATATTTTATAGTGAACATATTTTCCTATCACCGGTAAGAAAGTAAATTTAACATTTTTTTTTCTTTTTTTTTTTGTCAATAATCCTTACTTACAGTTTTGGTCCCCAAAAAGTAAGTGAGTTAAACTAATAAAGTTATTAAGTTTTGTAGGTATATATATTAATGAGTTTAATTTGTATTTAAGTATTTTTCTGTTTTTAATTAAGTCATTTCCATTTTTATGCTGAACATCAGCAACATCTATTATGGCGGCTCATCATTACGGTGTTTTACGCACCAACGTAGGAGGAGGACCTCATGGGCTGGGTGAGTTTAAAATTGAAATATATTCATTATTTTTACTACAATTTATTTTTATTGTGTTTGTGATTAATAGTAAAAACTCTGCATTAATTATTCCCCAGTCTTATCGATCAAAACAACTCCTAAGCAGCTTTCTAATTGCGAAGAGAATCGATTAATGTTGAAAAACATTGGAATTAAAAGTTTAAAGTAAACAAATATATTTTCAAATTTTATGTTATCATTAAGTTATCAATATCAATTTCTGTGCATGCACAAAAAGTTATTTTTTGATGAGTTATATTTATTTACTTGAGAATCAATTAATTTCATGAATGCTTCTAAAGTTAAACGAAACCTCATGTTTTGTTTTGTTTTGAATTGTAGTACTAATAATAATAGAATAGCGTAGCATAGTAGGAGAGTACTAATGTTTATTTGAGTGAAATGTGTGTAGAAATTACTACATAACATTTAACAATCACTTAAATGAACAACGTAGACATTTCATTTAGGTAACAATAAAAAACATAGGGTTTTAATAGGCAATAAATTTATACGAAAACGGAAAACGTGTGTCGAATTGGTTATGCAACATTGAAATTAAAGTTAATCTCAATAAAAAAAATATAAACTAAATTCAAATAAAATTAACATACATAAAAGTACAGTAGTATCGTAGCCCATTTGCGACTCCGTTCACGTGATCAAGGGCAGACGTTATGTTTTCGTGACCTTTCTTCACTGCGTTGCCACACTCCCTTCAATTTATTATGACAAGTTTTAGATTTATAATAAACCTAATATCTTTTTTGTTGTTTTTGTATTACAAACTTAGTCTGAATACTCTTTGTGAACATTTTTATACTTTGTAGCAAATCTAAATTTACATTATTTACACTATTGTCCTCGTCTTTGTCGCCATATTTATCACAACGCTTACGGCCTTCTTCAGGTGGTTGGAATGTCGAACTGAACCCTTTATTTCGCTCACTGGGGTAGACTGTTCTAGTTCTACGTACCATGTTTGATGGATGTCAGTTATCAGTTAACTCCTGTTAATTTGCCTCTGAAAGTTCTCCACTGCCTTAACCAGGTATTGAACTCACACTCTAACCAACGCCTTTATCCACTGTGCCACGTGTCCTTGAGGACATCTAGGTATGAATTTCTGGGTATTATAAACCTAATGTCTTCAGCAACCATTTTTAAAAGTGCTCATATTGCAATTTTGCTGTTATCATTGCATGTTTTTATCAGAGCTCATATTGCAACTTTGTTGTTATCATTGCTTTTCTCTGGCACTCCTTATTACTGGTTCCCATATTGTATTTATTTCTATGCTTGACTGGCTCAGGAGATTTTTGTGGTCTAGCATATGTGCCGATTCCTTAAGTTTACGAATTTTCCAATGGTGTTCCTTGTCTATGATCTCAACATGATCCCACAGAGGGTGGTGATCTCCCTTCTCTCTCCATATGTGGTCAGCCACGTCTGATTTTTCTACTTCCCCTTGTGTTACAGCTTTCTGGTATTCTTGAAGCCTTACCTTGAGGGGGCGGCCTGTCTCTCCTTTATATTCCTTTCCACAGCTGCACGGGATAGCGTACACACAGTTTTTAGTCATGTTCTCCTCTATGGGGGGGTCTCACTTGAGAGAGATATCTGCGAAGTGTCATCAAACTTTTGAAGGTTGTTCTGATGTTATATGGACTGCAGATCCTTTGTATTTTCTCTGATAAACCCTTCACATAAGGCAGGCAGACTGTTTTCTGAGTGTTGCTGTCCTCCACCTCTTGTAACCGCCTATCCCAGTTTTGTGGGGTTGCTGCCATGTACCCAGGGTAGTTGTTACGTTGTAGGGTACTACTTATACTCACCGATTCTTTATCTAACGTCTCTGGGTCGCCACTTATGACTTTTGCTCGGTGTTGTAAGCAACGATCGATCCCTTTCTTTATGCTGTATGGATGGTGGGAGCTGAAATTGAGGTACTGTCTGGTGAATGTCGGTTTACGGTATACAGATGTCTTAAACCCATGCTCTGTTCGAGATATTAGAACATCCAGGAATGGGAGTGTGTTGTTACTCTCTTTCTCCATTGTGAACTGTATCGAAGGTCTTATTGAGTTCACATGGTCCAGTAGAACCTGAACATCTTCCTAGTGTGGCCAGAGTATGAAGGTGTCATCTACGTACCTTAACCATATAGTTGGCTTTAGAGATATAGATTCTAATGCCATTTCCTCAAAGTATTCCATGTATATATTCGCCATTGCTGGTGATATTGTGATAACACCTTCATACTCTGGCCACACCAGGAAGATGTTAAGGTTCTACTCCCTGCCTGATGTGAAGGGTTTATCAAAGGATCTGCGGTCCATATAACATCAGAACAACCTTCAAAAGCTGATGACACTTTGCAGATATCTCTTCCGAGTAAGACCCCCCATAGAGGAGAACATGACTAAAGACTGTGTGTACGCTATCCTGTGCAGCTGCAGAAAGGAATATAAAGGAGAGACAGGCCGCCCCCTCAAGATAAGGCTTCAAGAACACCAGAAAGCTGTAACACGAGGGGAAGTAGAAAAATCAGGTGTGGCTGACCACATATGGAGAGAGAAGGGAGATCACCATCCCCTGTGGGATCATGTTGAGATCATAGACAAGGAATACCATTGGAAAATTCGTAAACTTAAGGAATCGGCACATATGCTAGGCCACAAAAATCTCCTGAGCCGACCAAGCATAGAAATAAATACAATATGGGAACTAGTAATAAGGAGTGCCAGTGAAAAGCAATGATAACAGCAAAATTGCAATATGAGCACTTTTAAAAATGGTTGCTGAAGACATTAGGTTTATAATACCCAGAAATTCATACCTAGATGTCCTCAAGGACACGTGGCACAGTGGATAAAGGCGTTGGTTAGAGTGTGAGTTCAATACCTGGTTAAGGCAGTGGAGAACTTTCAGAGGCAAATTAACAGGAGTTAACTGATAACTGACATCCATCAAACATGGTACGTAGAACTAGAACAGTCTACCCCAGTGAGCGAAATAAAGGGTTCAGTTCGACATTCCAACCACCTGAAGAAGGTTGGAGCGTACATCGGCCGAAATGTTGTGATAAATATGGTGACAAAGATGAGGACAATAGTCCGAATAATGTAAATAATGTGCATAATACCTAATCTCAGAAATATAGACAAATCTCAATTTATTTTCTTTAAATTTTAAGTAGATATACAGGACCAGTTAATGTTTATATTCCTTTATCATCTAACCTGGCGACTTCTTGCTGAACTGACAAAGGATAAAGAGGAGAAGAAACGCAGGCCCCTGGCCATTGTGGCAGGGTGCCTGGACAGATTATATATTGAGTTACGTGCCTATTTATTTTTGTCTGCCAACTGGATGCTTCTTGGGTTTTCCTATCCATTCTTACTTCCGGCACTCTTGCCCTTTATTATTTCTGGTTATCCCACGGACCTTTATCTTCTGGCATTCTTAGCCTTAATTATTTCCAGCTACCACAGACTCTTATCTTCTGGAATTCCTAGCCTTTATTATTTCTGGCTACCACAAATTCTTACTTTTGGCAATCCTGACCTAAACTACTTTTGGCTACCACAGAACCTTACTTCCAGCTACCATGGACCCTTATCTTTCGGTATACTTGGCCTTCATTACTTCTGGCCTTTACTTCAACCTAACTCACCTGGTTGATCGGCATTAATGGACCTGTTTACAACAGCCCTAAACTTCCAGCTACACTAGGTCCTTGCTTCCAGCTTTCCTGTCAACCTAACTCACCTGGTATAGGAAATAGCTGCATGCATATTGTCCTGACTTCAAATAACCTATTCCGTACACTTCAGTTAAAATACTACGGAAGGTACACCATTGAACTTAACCAGCAACTACTAAACGCCATCACCTGACATTTAAATGGAACTTTCTTCTCCTTGGCTATAATGTCCAGACTTCAAATAATCTATTCTGTACACTTCAGCTAAAATAATGTGGAAGGTTCATCATTGGACTTTACCAGCAACTTTTCAACACTTTCCGGACATTTGAACTGTGGACTTACATGCCAATTTAACATTTTACATGGACTCTACTTTTAACATTTAGTCACAGTTATAGTATCTAGATCTTCTAGCCAGTCAGTATTCTTCAATTTACTGAATTCTGCTTCCATTACTTAATTTATTGTTTTCTCATGTTCCTTTTAAACCAGACACATACTTTTGTATGTGATGTAAATAAAGTTTTGCATAATTTTTTTAAATATCATCATTCTGTTATCCATTTTTGTTTCACCTGTCAGATTTCACATCTTTAATTTATAAAAAGTTAGTGGGCCTTTTGTGACAAGGCACACAAGGCCATATATCGCCTCTTCCCCTAGATGGGGTGGGGGCACAGTAGCCAGTATTTGCTTATCGGGACTAGGGCAACCACAAATGTGATGGACACAAGATTGGTTTTATGTGGGGTTTCACACTCGTATATATATGTGTGTGTGTGTGTGGGGGGGACTCCTGTTATTGCAAACATCAAGGAAAAATACCTTGTCCTTAGCCCTAGAAGAAGAAACAACTTTAAAAACTATTTGATGTTTGATCATTTGGTTAGATTTCTTTTGGGAAATTGAGCAGTTCAGTATATTTTTGGTATACTCTCATACCTTTTTGGAAGCAGAGAACTTAGGAGTACTAACAACAGACTTGGCAGATCTTATGTTTCGTTTATCCTTTGTTTCCTGTTTAGGATTAGGTTTCTGGTTCCTTCTAAAATGTCTTTTCTTTCTCTTTCACTTCCGTCTTGTGTCTTGGTGGCATTATTACCTTACTTGGAGTGGTGCCTCTTACTCTGTATCTTTCTGCCATGACTGGCTGTTTGACCTTGTACAGAGTAAAAATCAATGAAAAAACATATTCAATTTCAGTGTTTCAAACGATTTTTACCTACCAAACACCTGATTCTCCCTTGAGCAACTCTCATTTTCACTATGAATCCTTTGGATATGAAAATAATAATTTAAAAGCATTTTTAAGATATATTTCATTTTTTTTTTTTAATATATTTTAAGAATTAAAAAATGCTTCCAAATTTATTTTTATGATTTAAAATTTTAAAGTATATTTTCCAATAAATAAATAATATCGATTACTGAATAAAACTTCTTAAAAAATTACTTTAATTTAAAAATTGTTGATGGAAATAAGTTTAAATCATATATCAATACATAGATATCTTTTCTATCATAATTATTTATATCTCAAAATACTATTGGGTGTTGAGAATTTTACTTGTCAGTATTAACAAGTTCTCATAATCAAACAATCTGTAAATTGCAGCATTCACAAGATTTTTGTAATAAGAATTAAATCATACTTATTATAAAACCCAGGTTGTGTGTGTGTCTGTCTGTTCGTTTATATATTGGATCGAATTTCATACATTTTTCAACCGATTTCTACAAAACTTCACAGGACTACGTAAAATTACCTTGCGGTGGTTCTGGCAGCACCAAAAAGTGGAAAAACACAATTGTTTTTGCACAAAATCAATTTGAAAACATGATTAAGAGGCATTGCGAGAATGAAAGGGGGACAACTCATATTGAGTTATACTTATTATAAAACCCAGGTTGTTTGTGTGTGTGTGTCCGTTTATATATGGGATCGGATTTCCTACATTTTTCAACCGATTTCAACAAAACTTCACTTTTTTTTTTGGCAGGTAGTGTTTCTTGTCTTGCACACTTTTTTCTTTATTTTTACATCAGAATGCTTTAAAAATTCCATTTACAAGACAATTGTTTATAATAAAATTCTATTCAATCAGTAGACTCATAATGATTGAAAACAATGTTTTTGTTTGAGTTTGACCAATTCGTAAAAAAAACTAAAAAAAAAAACTAATTAAGACATGCGTGTCCATCAACCTTAAACAATAATCTTTGTCGATTTTATTTTTCAGTCTTTATGATGGTCGATACTTGATCTATCTCTTACTGTTATATCCCCGGGCAACGCCAGGCTCTACTGCTAGTAAAGAATATAAAACAAAAAAAACACAGCTACAAGCTCTATTAATTTTTTTAAAATTTAGACAATCTGGATTTTTATAAGTGCAAGTAAATTTTAATTGGAACAGAAAATAAAAATCAGTAGTTTTATTATGCATTTTGAATGAGATTTTGGTATTGTGCGTTCACGTCAGGATGTCACCAGTTTGGATAATGTGGTGTTGATATTCTTGGTGATGTTTTATTGGAAATATACAACATAAAACAAATTGACTGAAGGGTATAAAATAAATAATATATTTTTATTTTCTTCAGAATGATGAGTGACTCCTGAGGTATTCAGTGTAGCAAAATGTTCATTTATCAGGTGGATATTGGTAGCAGTCTGGAGAAATGTCTGGTCGTGGTGTTTAAAAGTCAAACCGTGATAAGGTAGTAGTAATCTTAGAAATAGGTCAGAGCAAATCTACTGTATTTTTCTCAGCAGATGACCTCTTAACTGCTTTTTCACACATTACACATGGCTGGTGTCTACATAATAGCATCTCTATTCATTCTCTCTTCTACTTCTAGCTAAGTGGTGTCAGTTTATATCTATTTTAACCAGGGTTCAAGACTTTAGCAGGAACATTGGTTTTGGCTAACACCAAAAATCTCTTTTTGTCAATTTTTTTTAATAGAGCCAAAATTATTTTATTTCCTGATGTTCCTTTCTTTTTCATTTTTCTTTTTTATAACAGAAGTTATGCATGGAACCTCCCTGATTTTTGGTATTTTTCAATCATAAATAAGTAGGCTCTGAACTTACAAACTTTTGGCATATTTTGGCCTGGTCCAGTCTTTTCTCCTTTCTATTTTTCTTTGAGGATTGCCTCCTCATTAGTTAAGAGAATTATAGAAAGAGAAATCTAGAGAGAAAGAAAAAAAGAAAGAGATAAGGGTTTTAAAGGAAAGTGGAAATGTCTTCTTTTAATATTTAATTTTCTTTATTTTTGTTTATATATTTTATTGGGACTCACTACAAGTTCATTCATTTTCATGCACTTTTTAGTAAGATTTATTGCTTTTTTACCACTACTTGAAAACTATCAAAGTTGCCAAGTTTTAAATATGATAATACTTAGCAAAATAAATTATAAGTAGGAATGATCAAATGAATTGTTTAATAATTTTATTGCAATATCAGAAGTGTACAGGGAAAATAATTTTCTTTCATTAAAAAAACCTTACCAAAGCATTTTTCAAAATCAATTATTATATTTTTGAAAAATTAATTAATTTTGGCGTAAATGTACCTGAATGCTTATGAGAGAAAATTGGCAAGTGGAAAATTTCAGATGGAAGCCACTATAATATTGTTATCAGATCTTGTATTACCATGATAATCTATGGCTTAATTATTTTATTCATTTGGTCAATCTGAAAAAGGATATCATCAAAATAATCTCTTGTTTTATTTTTTCTTTAAGTATGTATATATTGTAACAATATGGTATAATTTTATCTAAAATTCTAAGGTGAAGCATTGTTATTATTTCACATATTCAAAATTATAGTTTCATATTTCATCAGTTATCAGTATGTTGTCTGGTATTTTTATAAATTTATTTATTGTTCAATAAGAAAAATATAGATTTGAAAACAAAACTTCATTCTTCTCAAGGCAGATTGAAGATGTGACAGTTAAATCAGGCATAGCAGATCATTTGAGGGAAAGAGAGTAGGGAGTTTATAGTTTCCTATAGACATGGTCACAATAATGGACAAAGAATTCTGAAAAGCATGTGGAGGAAAAGAAAAAGTAATAAAAATTATACTTTGTAAAGCTTTCTGCTTCTACAAGAATTCATATTTGTTTCTTCTGTGTGTATGTGGGGGGGGGTAAGGTTAGTTTTCAGTCTGGTCTAATACTTTTCTGGCTTTGAAACTCAGGTTTATGGGTTATAACTCCTAAGAGGGTAACTAAGTGCTGATTCACATTTAAGTATTGCTAAATGCAACATACACTTGAAGAAAGCTGAAAAGCTGCGATAAGAAACAACCAAGATAAGGACACTAGTCTAAGTAATTCATGGAATGATGATTGATTTTATTTTCATTTGGAAAAATGATTTCACTTTACAATGGCTTAATGTGTGTAATGAAAGCAGGACAGTGTTAAGGAATAAACTATGAAATGGTTAAATCAAGTACACAATGTACCTATGCACATATCCTACATTTTTAGGTTAAATTATCTCACTTCATTAAAATAAATTTGTTGCTATTATTGAATATAATATAATCTATATATTTCAGGATTTGTTATAGCTTTCACACAAAACCTCCCATGTTTTCATGTAAAAGTCCATAAATATGTCACATTGATCTGTATGATTTATATTTCTGTTTCAATATAACAACCATCAACTATTGATATATTCAAATTCGTTTTTTCTTTTTGTTTGTGATCTTAGGTGACCCTGATGATCGTACACTGCGTCAAGTAGAGCGAGAAATCATGATTCCTCAAAAAATGAAAGAAATTGCAAAAAAGGAAAACTGTAATAAACATGTTGTAGGTTGGTTGAAGTTACTTTTTTTTAAAATGTTACTTTTTTTAAAATGTTACTTTTTTTTAAAATGTCTCTGTTTATAACTTCTTGCTTATTTTTGTATTAATTTTTTTCAACAATGTAAAGCTAGAAAAAATGGCCTACCTCCAGGATGAAAACTGATTTAAACTTGTCTTGCATGTAAACTGTACAAAAAGGAAAAATGGCAGCTTCATGGATCACACATTTAAAACAAATAGATCCTACAGTCGGATACTCTCTCATGAGAGTATCTTTTCACATATATAAATTTTGGCTGAAAATGAGGTGACAGGCAGACGGTTATTGCTGTATTGAGTAGGAAACACATGTTGCAGAGGAATTGACTAAAGGAGATGGATTGCAGGAATTGTTAACAAGCCAGAGAAGAAAGTACAATCTTAAAAACTTTTTCCTACAAGTTATTTTGGCAATTAACTTTTCTATGAGATGGTTAGAAAAGGCCTTTGATATTTGATTGATCCCTGAATTTAGTGGCAATGCCCCTGATTTACCAATCATGAAGTGAATTGAAAATGTCGAGTTGGTATGTGAACTAGGCCACATGAAGAAGATTGAGCATGTCCTGCCACTACAATTGAGAGGTGGGACTCTTGCTGTATACTGGCCACTAAGTGAGGAGTGGAGGTCAGACACAGCAGATAAAGCAAGCCCGCATGACTGTTTACACAATGGACTCTTTCAATGCATTTGACTAGATCATGGCAAGGTAAATTTGTACTGGGGAAACTGTCAATTAGTTTTTGCTGGAACTACAGCACTTGGCTTGGCTGGTTGGTGATGGATGGTGTATGCATTCATGTCTGGACTACAACAGGACATTAGACGGCTTCTTAGAACATCGTCCAGAATAGCGACTATGACCTTGGAGCAACTTCTAACCTAGGCTTTATGACCGATGACCAAAAACCTGAAGAGTCAGTTGCCGCATCTATAGAATGAACACTTGCTGATATGTCTCCTTCTGGCATGTGCAAGGATGGCATAATTTGTTTTAGGTGCTCTGGTCCCAACCCCTTTGCTAAGGACTATAAATAGATGAACAGAAGTGTGTAGTCCTTGTAGATTCTGGTTGCTCACAGACACTAGAGAGCAGATCTGTATGCAGCCTTTGGTGATGGTGTTGACAGCCGATGGGAAATTGCTAAAGTGCCAGAGGTATGACACAGTCAAATTGGATGTTGGTCATGTTTGACCTGTGAAAATTGAAGTCCTGGTTGTGGATGGAACAGTGCTAAGCTTTGATCTGCTTCTGTGGATGAGTGCAATCTGGGAGCTTGGAGGAATGTGCATAAGTAAATTGGGAGAAGTGCACTTCCTCAAGGGAGATGATATACCTCAGTGCACTGCCATTTTCATTGATGAACCAATGGGCCAGTGGTTAAACACACGAAAGACTGAAAAACTGTGCCGGAGTACACTGTGCATGATTCTGTTGACAGTGGTGGTGGTGGCTCAGGAAAACAAACAAAGGGTTTGGTCAGTGCTTGATTACAGGGAATTGAACAATTTTGTGAAAGCATTCACTACTGATGCAGATGTGTGTGCCCAGAAGTTGAGGGAATGGCAGTGACAGGGAGTGAATGTGTCCCTATTAGATTTAGGGAAAGCTTACCTATAGATACATGTCAAAAAAGTATTGTGGCTTTTTCAAACTGTGCTGAGCAAGGGCAAGAGGTATTGTCTTACTCAATTGGGATTTGGCTTAAATGTAGCACTTCTCATTATGAGAGATATCATCTACTTGTTCATGTCCCAGAATGATCATTCAAAGATGCCACATCAGCTTACATAAATGACATCTTTTTCAACAAAGCCTTGATTTCAATGACATGGATGAGGGACCATTTATCCAGTTATGGACTCAGTTGCAAAGACCCAGAGAAACTGGAAGTCGAAGCCAAGCAAGTCTTGTGGAGAATGGTACTGAGGAATTGAGTCCCAGACCTTCCTGAAGTCATTACTCACCAAAGCATGTTTTTTCTGTCTGGATGACTTATGGGACACTTTCCTGTGTGTGACTGACTAAGAATAGTAATCACCTATATCAAGCAACTAGCAAGTGCCATGTCCAAGGGATGGAATAACACAGTCGAGGATGCATTCATCGATTGTATGTTAACTAAGACAGTAACCAGGGTACATGAAATGGATCTCATTGTTGGGGACTGGTGTGTGAGTGGCCACAAAATGAAGGTATGGGTGGGCACCAGCTCTTTGGCCATGGGAATGTCATTGGAAGTAAATGGGGGCATTGTTGAGGATGCTTGTTGGTTGTGTCCGGCAAGAGATGCCTAAGCATATTAATTTACCTGAACTCAATGCAATGATAAAAGGCATCAATCTGACTCTCCAATGGCAGATGACAGTCTTGCACCTGGTTACCAACTCTGTATGCGTTCATTGCTGGATATAAGGCACCCTGCTTGGGAAGAAACATGTAAATACGGGCAGCCAGTGAGATGTTGATAAGACTGTAATTGCTCACTGGTTGACAAGTATCCCTTGACAATGGATGTGATGCTGGTCAAATCTGCACTAAAATTGAGCAGATCACCTCACCAGAGTGTCCCAAAGGTGGTTGGAGCAGCACAAAGAAGGAGCCAAACCTGTACAACTAGGGTGAACCACTGTAAAAAAGTTAAGCGAGAGTCAGGCGACTAATATCCACTGACAAAGTGGGCACCCGGGGGTGAAATGGACACTGTATTTGCCAGGTCAGTCGACCCTTCAGTATCAATAACAGTTGCAAAGTCAGTCGGCAAAAATTGTAAAGCTTGCCAATCTATTGACTCAGTGCCAGTACATAGGTAGAAAGTAAAGCTGGGAGTGAAGAACAACTGGATCAGGTTAGTGATGGATATCACACACTAGAGCAGTGGACACTTCCTAACCCTTATTGATTGTGGTCCATCTTAATTTGGAATATGGCAACTGCTTTATTGACAAGACTCCACCAGTGTCACTAACCAATTAACATCAATCTTTCTTGAGTTGGGTCCACCAACCAAAATCTTAACTGACAACGACACAGCTTTCACTTGTAGGTACTTCAGAAAATTCCTCAGTGACTAGGGTGTGCAGCTTCAATTCTAATCTGCTTATGCACCAGCTGGGAATGGTATAGTAGAAAGGAGTCACAAAAGCATTAAAATCATTGCAGCTAGAAAGCAGTGCTCCATACCAAAGGCAGTTTACTGGCTTAACTTCACACCTAAGGACAATTCCTCACTTTCTACAGTGCTGGCAGATGCATTAGATAAGTATCACATCTGTGTATGGGGCATTGATGTGATGCTTCCACCTGAATCATGGAATACTCAAGGAGCATACAAGATATGTTTGGGTTAAGTTTCCGCAAGGTAGGTGTACAATCAAGTTTAAGGCAGGCTGCATAACCAAGATTAACAGTTTGCAGTCAGTACAGATTGATGAAATTCCCCGTCATGTGAAGGACTTTTCATCCTTTTCAGGGGTTGTACTCTCTATCTGTACATAGAGGTGATTCAACAGAAGGTTAGATGTTAGTTGACTTGAGATTGACTTTACGAGGCAATTCTCCTGATACCAGCAGCACAGGAGAACCCAATGATTTGTCCAGTGGTGATTCATCTGAAGACAAAGTTTATATTGCTCCCACTTGGAGGAGTACCTGGCAGAAGAGGCCTCCCTCTGGTTGCATTTGCTGTGATCATGAGATCGGTCGGGAGTATAGTGAACTGTCATTTTGATTAAAGGAAACAGATTGCAGGAATTGTTAACAAGCCAGAGAAGAAAGTACACATTTTACCTACACTTTTTGATAATGAATTTAACTCCTCTTCCAAATTCAAAATCAGTAGATTGCATTGACTACTGTGGTAGCTTTTTATTGCATTTCTAAGAGGAAAAGAAATTCTATAACAAAATGGAAACAAAGAAAATGCATAAAATATGAGAAAATAAATAATCATTTGGCTAAAATGCATTATCTTTATCTGACTAATTTAATAAAAATATTTTAATTTTGGCTTTCAATTTGTACATTTGAAGAAAGCAATCTATCTTTTCAGAATATCTCAAAGTAGATTTTATCAAGGGCTACAAATATTCTTATAAATTCATCTACCATTAAAGCAGGCATGATAGGTATAAATGCTTATGCAAAATATTAGTCTTGCCAATAATCTATTTTTTCTAACACAAAATTTTTCTTATGGTTTTTCAAATAAAAATGTTCAAAACATCATTTCTTTAAATAATCAGATGAAGTTTTGGTAAATTATTTGATGTTTTCTGACAAGCTTCCTAAATTTTTTCTTTCATTTGACACTTTGGGATTTTGTTGATCTGTTTAATAATATCCACTGAATTCTGATGTTAGATTTTTTTTTTATGGTAGCTTTTGGAGAATGTGCTAAGCAATCTGGACTCTTGATGCCCATCCAGTGCAAAGAATTATCAAAAGAGTTACACACTTGCCTCTCCAATATGTAAGTAATGTTCCTTAAAAAATACAAAGCCATTATACTAGGTACCTCCACTTTTTTGCTGAAAAAACAGCATAGCATGATGAAAAAAGGTCCAAAACTTAATAAAAACAGATTTTTTTTGTTTTTTTTTTTACATTATTTGTACTGTTATCCTCATCTTCATTGACACATTCACAATATTTCAGCACTTGCATGCTCTGGCCTTCTTCAGGTAATTGGAATTTTGAAGCAAACCCTTTATTTTATTTTATCCACCGGGGTAGATTGTTCAAGTTCAATATGCCATGCTTCTTCCAGATGTCTCAGTTATTTCCCTTTAACTCAACTCTCCAAGTTTTTTGGTTCACCCCTGCTGTAGCCTGGTATTAAACTCACAACTCTTTGGATCTATTCACTGGATCTAACCAATACCTTTATCCACTAGGCCATGTGTCCTTGTATGAATTTCTGGCACTTATAAACCTAATGTCTTGGCAATTGTTTTTACCATTTTTTTTGCAATTTTTTCGTTATTATTGATATTTTACCAGAACTTATATTAAAATTTTGTGTTGTTATTCATTGCTTTTCTCTAGCACTCCTTATTACTGGTTCCCATATTGTATTCATTTCTATGCTTGGTTGACTCGGGAGATTTTTGTGGCCTAGCATATGTGCTGATTCCTAAAGTTTTTGTATCTTTCAATGATGTTATTATGATTTCTATTATTTCAACCTCATCCCACTGAATTCTGATGTTAGATTTGTTTTTATGGTAACTTTCGGAGAATGTGCCAAGCAATGTGGTCTCTTGATGCCCATCCAGTGCAAAGAATACCATCCATATGTGGTCAGGGACGTCTGATTTTTCTATTTCCCCTCATGTTACTGCTTTATGATGCTTAAGGGGGTGGCCTGTTTCTCCTTAATATTTCTTACCACAGCTGCATGGGATGGTGTACACACAGTCTTTAGTCATGTTCTCCTATGGGAGGTGTTACTCAGAAGAGGTGTCTGGAAAGTGTTGAACCACTTTTGAAGATGGTTCTGTTATATAGACCACAGATCTTTTGTATTTTCTCCAATAATCCCTTCACATAGGGCAAGCAGACCAAAGCTGTTTTCTGAGTGTTGTTATCCTCTTGTACCCTTCTATACCAGTTTGTCAGAGCTACTGTCCTCTACTTGGGGTAGTTGTTATGTGGTAGGGTACTGCTTATACTGACCATTTCTTGTTCATATGTCTCTGGGTCCCCACTTATGACTTTTGCTCAATGTTGTAAGCAACAGATGATCTATTTCTTTACATTGTTGCCCGGTGAATGTAGGCTTGCAGTATACAAATGTCTTGAACTAATGCTCTGTTCAAGATATTTATCCAGTACATCCAGGAAGGCGAGTTTGTTGTTTTCTCTCTCCATTGTGAACTGTATCGATGATCTTATTGAGTTAACATGGTCCAGTAGTAGCTGGACTCCTTTCTGGTGTTGCCAGAGTATGAAGGTGTCACTTCATCATTTCCTCAAAGTATTACATATATTGCCAAGCCCTCATCCTGTCAATAAATGTCTGATCCCATTCCAAAGTGTGTTGTTTGTGTACAGAAAGTCATCTCCATCAGGTTATTTATTGGCATACTGGTCCATTCTCCTATGGTTGAGTCTGAGGCCAGTCTGTCTCTGACTACTGAAATTGCCTCCTCCATGGGTACCTTGGTGAACAAACTCACTACATCTTTAATTATTTCCATGAAGTGATGGTCAATTAGATCTACTTGGAAGCAATTCAGAGGGTAGCACACAGACACAGAACCTTGGCAGCTAACAGTCGGTGTGAGCAGAATACTGTCTTTGTGAATTTTTGGGAGATCATATATGTGAGGTAGTTTAGTGTAACGCTGTGACAAATGCCTGTATGTCTTAGGTGCAATGTGGTCCTTGTTCTTGATTAGGATCTGTGACAGTTTGCATTCCATTTTCATTGTAGGATCTTTCTTTGTTTTTCTATAGCTATCATTTACAATGAGGTCTTCCAGTTTTTCTGTATATGCAAGAAAAAATGCAATATGAGCACTGGTAAAAACGGTTGCTGAGACATTAGATTTATAAATCCCAGAAATTCATACACATGGCCTAGTGGATAAAGTTAGATCCATTGACTAAACCCAAAGAGTTGTGAGTTCAATACCAGAATACGGCAGTGGTAAACCAAAAAACTTGGTAAGTTGAGTTAAAGGGAAATAACTGAGACATCCGGAAGAGGCATGACACATGGAACTAGAACAATCTACCCCAGTGGACAAAATAAAGGGTTTGTTTTGAAATTCCAATCACTTGAAGAAAGCCAGAGCATACAACGGCCAAAACGTTGTGAATATGTTAATGAAAATGAGGATAACTGTCCGAATAATGTAAATAATACTTCATCTCAGAGTTATAGACAGGAACAAAGTTTTAACATCAATGTTTGTTAGACCAAAAGAAAGACCAAAGTATTTTTTTATTATTTTGTTAAATTTTTTAATCCTTTCTAGCACATTGTAAATTTATATTAAGAATCTTTTTTTCACGTGTCATGTAATATTTAAGTATTTTTACACTTTTTTCTGATGAAAAATACAGTACACTATTTACATTATTCGGACTATTGTCCTCATCTTTGTTGCCATATTTATCACAACATTTTGCCCGTTGTACGCTCCGGCCTTCTTGAGGTGGCTGGAATGTTGAACTGAACCCTTTATTTCGCTCACTGGGGTAGACTTCTAGTTCCACGTGCCATGTCTAATGGATGTCAGTTATCAGTTATCTCCTGGTAATTCACCTCTCCAAGACCTCCCTCACTGCCTTAACCAGGTATTGAATTCAGAACTCTGTGGCAGTGGAGAACTTGGATAGGTGAATTAACAGGAGATAAATGATAACTGACATCCATTAAACATGGCACATGGAACTTAGTGAAATAAAGGGTTTGGTTCAACATTCCAACCACCTGAAGAAGGCTGGAGCGTACAACAGCTGAAACCTTGTGACAAATATGGCAACAAAGATGAGGACAATAGTCCGAATGATGTAAATAGTGTACACAATACCTCATCTTAGAAATATAGACAAAAACACTAATTTGGAAATTCTTGCAAAAATCAAATAATTGTCAGATTTTAATGAAACTTTCACAATTTATTCAATTTTTTTTTTTTTTTCAGATGATCTTGGTAAAAATATTTTTCTTTACATATGTTACTCCCCCTACCCCCACATTTCATGAAATTTCAAGAAATTAAATTGCAAAATTTGCTGTGTTAGTTAAAAGCAAGACTCCTTGGAGAACATAAATCATCAATTTTTCTTTCTTTTTTTTTTTTTTTTTCAAACTACTACTCATTTCCTGAAATCTGCTCCGAATTGTAAAATAAAAAATGCAATAAAACTATGACATTTAATTAGAAAAGCTTTTAATTGCTTTTATAAATAAGATTTATTAAGGATGCTATTGTCTTAAAATATTTTGTTTTCGATGAATAATGAATTTTTACAAGAATTGTTTTCTTTTCTTTTAATTTTGTTTTAATTATAATCATTCATAATATATAAATCTTTTAAAATGAAAGCTTCAAGAATGCTTTTTCTTTTTTAAAAATTCATTTTAAACCTTGGGTAATGAAAATTAGTGGAGGTACTGACATTATATTCGCCTTATATTTTCTTATACCAGCCTTGGCTATTACATTTAGATTTTGTAAAATAAAATTTTATTATAAAAACTTACTAGACTTATTTACATTAGGTAGTAGCATTACTTACTAAAAACAGTGATATCATCATCATCATCATTATCATCATTTAAGTTCTTTTGCAATATGATTAACATAGATTCAAACAAATAAATTGTTATTTAAGCATTAAACAAGTCTTTGACAAAATGGGAAATATTGTCTGCTTTCAAAAAATAAAAGAATCTAAGTAATGGCCTATTTCTTGGAATATAGAAGATTTATATTTCTTAATACTTTTAAGTAAAAAATGTTTCTCTCTATAGGTAGTCTTTACATCAACTTGAATACTTGAAGCACATTTAAAACTGTTTTCACCCCATTGGAATTTATAGTATCTTCAAAGGTATCAAGTTATTGTACTTGCTATTTATCATTCATGAATCGTACATGTAATGGTACTTATCTGAATTTTGTTATTTAATTATTTTATGTGACTTTCTTCAGACTAATTTCTTCATCTTTGTTTGTTACATTTTGACCATAGTAGCCTTTACAAAGCTCATGAAGAGCTTACTAGGTTAAGGTGGTGGTCGTTGAGGAAAAAAGTTACAGAAACGCAAGGATGCAAACCATCAGTTTACAATTAGAAAAAATAACTTTTAAAACCAATTTATTTTATACAATAAGAAAATGTATTGAAAAGGCTGACTTGTGCAAAGAAAATAGATTCCTCACCTGAAGATGTGAATAAATATGAAAAGATTAATCAGGTTAACTTTACTTCTATCTTTATTAAATAAATATCACTTCTGAAGTTCCTTTTTTTAATATGTAATGCAGATTAAGCAAAAAACAGCAAAAAAAAAACAATTTCATCTAATCATCTAAAAATTATTTGTTTCTGCTCTGAAAACAATCTATATATATTTTTTTTTTTCCATAGTATGATGTAAAATAAAATTGCAATACCCTGAAGGACAATGACAATTAGTTTTGACTGGGGTACAGTATGTGAATATGCATAAAATATTTAATTTTTTTGATATAGTAACAATCATATCAATGCATCATCTGTTCCTGAGCTTTAAACTGATATATGCAGTAATAATTTTCAGTGCAGTGTAAGTTCAGTGCAAGTAGGAGTCATACCCTCATACTTTTTCCTCAAAATCATCTGATTGAGGACAGTCTGGGCCATTGAGAAGCTGGATAGTTATTTCAGAGAATCCATAGCCCAAATTCTGGACAGCCATGTAGTACAGATGTTCACAAATAAAAATTCATTTTAAAGTCATTGATGGAAGCACAGAGGAGAACAGTTCATTTCTCAAAGTGTTAACACAGACTGTTAAGAATCATTTACTTGAAAAAGGACCAAACTTCTACTTAAACTACAATATGATGCACATCTACAGTAAGATTGTGAGAGAGCCACCTGGGATTCAGAAGAGAGGATTGAAGAGTTAAGATTAGTTTCGGAGAGAGCTAGGATGTTCAAAGAAGACCGATTACACACTACAAATACCATGAATGTTGGAGAAAGAAAAGATTTAGGTATCTTTTGGTGAGCTGGTTTAGTTTTTATTTGTTGGTTCCTTACCATCATTGTGCATAATTTGGGTAAATAAAAAGCCAAGAATAGTAAGTAGCAGTCAGTTGACTAATACATGTGCATGTCGTGAATTGGCACAGACTGCAACATAGTGTGGCCTCGGGGTTGCCCACCGACGGTGCTTGCAGGGACACCATTCTATGCGGGACATGGCGCTGCAAGAACACAGATATTATTTTGACTGATATAAAATAAAACTGAAACTGAAGATTAACAGTGGTAGATAATTCTGATAGGAGTTTCTGATACATTTTAAAAAAAGTAAAAGTAAAAAGGCAAACATGATGTTTGCAATAATTATTGACACATTGCTCGAATAGTAAGTAGAGATTTTTCAAAAACTGGAGTGTCATTTACTAGATGACCTGACACCTAGTTCAGTTCTTCCTTTCCACACACATTGCAACCCTGTTCATATCAACACTTCAATTCTTACTCTCTGCATCCATCTTTGTCGATTCTGTAATGATGCCAAAAACTCACACATCTTCCCTTTATCAACCGAAAGCTCATTAACAAAAGAAACCCTTCCTAAATATAATACACTGTCTGTGTTAAGTAAATTAAATTATGCAAAACATGTTGTCAATATTGTTATTATAAAAAGAACTATTAATGATACACATCAATCAAAGATTAGAATTTTGTAAAGCATTTGGTTTTGCTTATCTAGTTATTTTTATTGGAAGAATATGAAATTGATAAAGGAATTTAGGATAATAAAAATATTTTATGTTTCTTGTTGAAACATTAATAGTCACTTCGTGATATTTATAGACAGAGGCCCGCGTAAGATTCTGAAGAGAAATTAAAATCATTTGACTTGACTCGTAATATTGATTCACTTTTGAACCATTTACAGTGTATTAAAATGTTTACTTATTACTCAAATTATTAAATTTTTTTTTTTTTTTTTTTTAATCGGGAAATTGTAATTGAAAAAGAAAATTCCATGAGCTGCAACAGTCTTCAGAGGCTATAAGTAGATTGCTAGTTTCATGCATACTTTTAGAATTTAAATGTAAATGGAAAGAGATATTCTGTTGTGGAGAAAAAAAGGTGTAAAGTCCAAACTGATGACCTTGGAGAAGGCATGAATCCATTTCTTCTCTCATGAGCTATGAGTTAAATAGTAGGGTAGACTAAACTCTTTAGCTTTCAGTGACATCTGAAAATAGCAGCAACAATGTTTAAAGAGAGACAGATGTGAAGCTTATTTTTTTATTTCTTTTTTTTCCTTTCAGGTACAAAGATGAAGCATTTATTGAGAGATGCACAAAGGAATACTTAGACAGTCGTTCAGAATACAGACGAACAGGAATTAAGGATAAGATGAGGCGTATTTGATTCAACTAGAAATCTGGAATTTTTCTAGTGCAACATATGATGCAATTCTATTGGTTCAATACAGTGTACAGAACTTAGTTTTTGCCACCATTTGAGTCTGTTTTAATTATATTTCTTAATAAATTTTACTCTAAAAAATTTCTCTTATCCTTGAAGTAAGTTGTTATTTCACCAATTAAACATTTTGTCCTTAATCTTAAATCATTTTTAAATATAAACTGACATAAAGTAAGTTATATTACAATGTTTTCTTTGTTTATATTGTAATGTTTACATTGATTATTCTTAGAACAAAATTTAAATAAATTATGCAGTTTGCATCTTTCATCTCTTAAACATTTTGTGCTTAAATCTTACATTTAGTAATATTTTTCATAATGATTGGTGTTATAAGCTGAAATATATTTGCCCATATAAATATATGAGACTCTTGAATTTTTTACCAGCATCAGTTGGTTAATATCAGTTTTTTTATGAAACCATTTAGTTACATAACATTTGATAATATGTATTGCCAGTAATTGAATTTTATGATGAAAAATACCTTTCTGTCAAGAGTAGAGCATAACTTGATTTTCTTTTTTGTTTGTTTTTAACATAATAGAAAATTTAATTGAATGCTAAAAATTATACATTTTTGATGACCATTTGATTTATTTGAGATTTATTTCAGTTTTGTAACAAAAAAAATTCTCATTAACAAACTGTTGGAATAAAGAAATTTACAATAGCTTGAAATTTTTAGAAATTTTTTCTAGTTGAGTATAGTTATGGTCTTTATAAAAAAATATAAATTTGATATGAACAAATTCTTAAAGAGAACAATTTTAATTTTTATTTCTTGTTTTGAAACCATTGCAGGAGTATGAGAATTCAGATTAACAACATTTGAAATAAAAATAATGTTCTGAATTTCAGATTAATCATAATCAGTAAGATCTTTTACATTTTTATAATGCAAATTTAAACAACACAAAATTATGACCACCTCCATTATCATCAGCAACTGAAAATATCACTTCAAATTCAGAGCTCAAAACAAGAATTTAAAGACATCCAAATTGTATACAAATTTAAAAATAAAAACAAACACCATATTAAATTTTATTCATTTTTAATAAAATGATTTAGTAAAATAAATTGTTTTAATGAACATCTGGAGAAATTTCATGTATGTTCCTATCTGAGAAAATTTGACAATTTTTGGAGAGTTGTGAGCACTGATTTTTTTTTTTTTTTTTTTTTTTTTTTTGCTATAATTTTGCAATTCCATTTTTATTTATCTTAGATCATTTTTCTTAAATTCAGTCTGAGGTTTTAGACATACACAGTTTATTTGTAGTAGACATTAATACAATAAATACAAAATTGATAAGTGAGATGACTGAAATTGTTTTTGTTTGTTTTTTTTAAAAAAAAACTCACTTAGCTATCCAGTTGACTTAAAGCATATGGCCTCAGATTCCTTGAATCCTCATCCAAGTATTTCTCATAATTGGTGTTCATAATATTTTAGTATTCAAGACCTCTACATCATCATCACATTTGAATAAGGCTTTGTTAGTCAAAATGTGAACATAGCATAAAATGGTCAGTTGACAAATTAGAATGATGGAACAATTACTTTTGTGTATAAATTAGTTGCCATTTATAAAAAGAGGAAAACTTATCCTTGTGCAAAGGTTTATAATATGTAAGTCAGTACAAATATTAGTCAGGGATGCAACAATTACAGGAAAAAAGATCTTTTGAAAAGAGTATGAATAACTTAATCATTCTCCAATATAAAGAATAATGTATGGCTATACACAATAAGGCTATCAGTTTGAAATACTGCTGAACAGTTAAAAATATAACAGTATATAATAATAGTCCACTAATAACAAAGCTGTATGTGGATATTGTAACTATGAGGGGGGCAGCCTCACCATGGTATAATACTGAGTATTTGAGCCTTCTGCCAATCCAAGCTAAGCTTAGTAAATAAATATTATACTGTGGAGACCAGCATCACATCTAAACTATTATTTTGTTTTATGCACAATATACTCTTTACAGAAATACTGAAGCATTTCTTTATTTTAGTAATGATAGCTGATATTTTAAAATATTGGAATCAAGCTTTATTAAATTGGTAAAAATAGTATAATTTAATCAGAACAAGGATTCTGTTTTGTGCTATTGAGAAAATTATACAGATTAGAATATTCATAAACGGTAAATATGTCATCTATTATACAGATTCAATTATTTATATTGTCTATTATAATTTCTGATATCTTCCTTTACTAAATTTAAAGATAAAACAAAAGCTGATGATCCTGAATGTTATTTTCACCTGGATCATTTTTATGTGCATACATAACTTCAGCCATTCTACTTGTCTCTATATGGCAAAGAGTAAAAAATGTAATTCTTGCTATATATATATATATATATATATTACTTAAAAGTGTATACACAGTTTATAGTAAACTTTCATTTTAATGTATTTTACTGTCATAATTTAGCACAATTCTTTTTTAATTTGTTACATTGTTGTTTAAGCTTGAAAAATATTTGCCATGAATTATAAAAACAATAATGGCATTTCATTAAAATATTTATCATTTATAAATTTTACAGATACGCAAATTTATGTGCTTATATTCACGAATAGTAAGTGAAATCAGTGGGTGTGATTTTCTCTTTAATGTCAGGCCATGTTACTTTTGAAGATGTCTTAAACATAAAAATATAAAAAAAATCTTTTCACTTAAGTCACTTTCCACATGTCTCAGCTTCTTTGTATAGATAGGTTTTCTGATAGATATGAAGCACAGTGCATTGTAATAGTGGTGCATATGTGAGCATATATGTGTGTACTTCTATAGAGATACAAATTGTATGTAATCTACTGATTATTATGATATAAACATCTCTAAAACTAGTATTTAATATTTTATATGTCTTGTATGAAAGTACAGTTATGTTTTTGATTGTTGCTTTTACCATTCTTGTTTGTGTCATCATTTTTCTAAATATACCACTAGAACAGTGGATTCTTAAAATGAATTTTTGTAAATTTAATACATCACTATTTCTATGTATATACAAAAATATATGCATAAGTACATACACAGAGATATAATATACATATTGAGTTAAATGTTATTTACTTATATACACATGTATATAAGTATATGCTTATGAAAATAAAACATATCACTTATTACTGGATATATACAACTCAGACTCTGACTATTCTCATGACAAAAGATTAGCCTAAATCTTCTGATGTCCATCCCATTGATTCCTCAATCCATTGGCGCATTGAGCCAATTTTAGTGAATACATTTGGAGAATTGGCAGCACAATTGTATCGTCCTTTCGACAAAACTCCAACCAGAGTCCAACGATTGTCAGGTTCCCAACACATCAATCCTCCGCCACTGTCACCCTGAATTAAAAATCATTGTTGTTTATTACAAAAGATTTCACACAAGTTATATAGCATAAATGGTCTGCTTAAATGAAAAAACAAAATTTTATTCCAAATATAATTTTAAAATAGGAATAAAATATTTGCAGAATTTAGCAGATGTAAACATAATAAACAAAGTAACTTTTGGTTTATATGTTTGTTTAAAAATACAATCCTACTTTTTGACAATAAGAATTACTTTACCGCTGTTGTTATATATTCAAGACATCATGAAATAGTAGTTCCTAGTGTTTCTGTTATAAGCTAACTAGCACTTAGTGTTATTTCCAAGCTAATGTAAACATATAGCAGTGTACCCTGTTCGGTGACATTTTTTTTCTATTTTTATTGTTTGGTGTGTCATTTTAGCTTAGTCTGTACTGCAGAGTACTTGCTTGAAACCAAAATGGCTGTGCTCATGAGAAATTGCAGTCAGTTTCTTTATAGTCATTTATTTCTCATAAATGTCATTTTCCTATTTTTCTCAAAACTAGCCAGCACAATCAGGCAGTGAAAGGATTTTGAGTTTTTTGAGAATTTTTTTTTGCTTTTAAGAAAGTGTCAGAATTGGTTTTGTGTAAAGTGATTAATGTACAATTAGAAAAATGGAAAAAATTTTAATTCAGATAAAGCAAAATCTATTCATTTGAATTAAATTCTTTGTTAACATTATATGAGATTTATCTATACAAAATCTATTCATGTGAATTAAATTCTTTGTTAACATTATTGAGATTTATCTGTACACCAAACATATTGTCTTGAAGACATTTTGTCCTAATCCTGTCAAACCATGTTTAAAATATTGCATCTCCATGGTACTTAGAAGTTTTTAGCACTAAGGAGAATCACACACACAAATTTTAATAAGTGTGTGTGTGTGTGTACATGCACAAATTAGTATAGATGGTTAAATAGATTTGAACTTAGACAAGCTGAGTGACCATTTTTAAATCTTGCAAATGGAATACAACTGTATCTAAAATCTAAGAAGCTTTCCATGAACTTTTTATCATAGCCTTTCACTGACCAAGAGCAGGCATTATATGACCTTGACCTTCATTGCATTGACACACACCCTTCAATTTAAGTTCATTTAGTTTTATAATAAGCCTAATGACTTTGTAGTTCTTTCAGTTTTATGAACCTAGTCATAATACACTTTGTGAACATTTTTATATTTTTTGGCACATCTCAGTTTATTTTCTTGAGATTTTTAGTACTTTGCAGGACCAGTTAATGTTTACATTCCCTTTCCATATAACCTGATGAGTTCTCACCAAATCAGGCAGAGAGAGGAGGAGGAAGAGAAATGCAGACCCCTGACCAATGTGGCTAGGCCAGTTTCTGTATTAAGTTACAGTCCTCTTTTCTTTTTTGGTATGCCAACTGAATGCTAGTTGGGCTTTCCTATCCATTCTTACTTCCAGCATTCTTGGCCTTGCTACTTGCAGCTACCTTGGACTCTTACTTCCAGCATTCCTAGCTTTTACTACATCCAGCTACCACAGACCCTTATCTTCTGGCATCTTACTTCCAGCATACCTAGCCTTTACTACTTCTGACTTCCATGGACCCTTACTTCTGGCCATCACGGACCTTTATTATCCAGCATTCCTGGCCTTTATTACTTCTGGCTACCACGGACCCTTATCTTCCAGTATACTTTGCCATCATTACTTCCGGCCCTTACTTCAACGCTACTTGCCTGCTTGATTGGCATTAATGGACCTGCTCACAACAGCCCTGAACTTCCAACTACACAATGGTCCTTATTTCTGGCATCTCTATCTTGACTTAACTCACTTGGTTGATCGGCATTAATGGACCTGCTTACAACAGCCCTGAATTTCCAACAACACTAGGTCCCTACTTCCAGCTTTCCAGCAACCTAACTCACCTGGTTTAGGAAATCACAGTATACATATCATCCAGACTCAAACAACCTACTCTGTATACTTCTGTTAAAATACTACAGAAGGTTCAACATTGGATTTGACCAGCAACTATGCAATGCCAGCACCAGACATTTAAACTGAACTTTCTTCTCCTTGGCGATATTGTCCAGACAACAAATAATCTATTCCGTACACTTCTGTTAAAATACTACAGAAAATTCATTATTGGACTTAACCAGCAACTTTTCAACACTTTCACCAGACATGTGAAATTAACTTTCGAACTGTGGACTTACATGCTGATTTAACCTACAAGGACTCTGGTCTATATTCAAAATAAAGTTTGTATTAAATTTTAAATATCCTCATTCTGTTGTCCATTTTTGTTTCACCTGTCAGATTTCATGTCTTAAATTTATAAACGTCAGTGGGCCTCCTGTGACTATTTTTATTTGGGCACACAGGCCATTTTTATATCGTGCCCTCTCCAGGAGGTCCACTACATTTTAAAATTAAACTGGCATCAGTTGGTTTAACTGAGAGGAAAATGGATGTTAATATTTCCAAAAGTTTGCACCTATTCACTACAAAAAATGCTGTTCAAAGACTGAACACTCAAAGAATAACATGACTTTATATGAGCATTTACCATAGATTAAAACAAAATTTAAGATTAGAAAATATAAATGTAAAGAATTCTATAGTTGTCATGTGCAAACTTAGAAACCAGACTCAATTTTATGAACAATCAAGATTATTAATGGTTTGTATTTCCAGAGCCATTTGTGACTTAAAAATAAGATATGGCACATCAAGATACTTACATAACATCCTGTGATTGTACTTTCGAGGTATCCTGCACACAAATTGTGTTCCCAGTTGGGCTGTGGTCGGAATATGGAGCACTCAGAAGTATTGCGAATAATCATACGAACTTCATGAAGAAAGTTACTATATCGTCGTCTGCCTTCTAAAAAATAGCAATAATTTAATGGTAAAAATATGTTGAAATTTGTTGAAGCATTCAAATTTTCTTTAGCCATGATCACAGATAGAAGAGAAGAAAAAGAAAATATGAGTTAAATGAAGTTTCAGATAAGACTTAACTTGAAAAATATATGAAAGTAGAAAATAATCTGTTGAAAATGGTTTTCCTTTCTTGTTCTTTTCTTAGTAACAGAGAAAGATTAAGAGTTACACATTTACCTTTTCAAGATTAATAATTAGCCAGTATTCTTTACTTAAATAAGTTTTGGCATTTGCTTAAGATCTAAATATCTGCAATGGAAAATTTGAGACCAGAAGAGCCTCAATACTTCCTGTATAAAAGCTGATGAGACTTGTGAGATATGTCTTTACCTCCAGGTTTATGAGTGCCTCCCCAACCAGCAAGGTAACAAGTTGAACCAGGACCATGTTTTGGTAGCTTTGGCATACAAATTGGCTCAATCTGATGACTGGGTTGAATTGAATCCTTTAGGCGTAAAAGAGCTATATCAGGATCAGGATTGAAAACAACCAATTTCATATCTTCAGGAAATATTATTTTATCAATAGGAATGCGTGTTCCATTCATTAAACCCTTGAATAGATTCACCTCTCCAAGAACAGCTGAGAAGTAATGTGGAACTTTGGTGCGATTCCACATCCTAGGGAAAAAGATTAACAAATAATTTTAAGAAAACACTTGTAGCATTATTTGAAAATTTTTCATTTAATATGAGAATGTGATAAAAATTTCAGATTTAAAAGAATTCAATATTTATTATTTTTTTAGGAAAACTTTTGAGATTTACTTAAAACAGTGATCAAGTGAAAAATACCATGACAACCATAAGATTAAGATAATATGAAGAAAAAAATGTTAAATTTTGCAATCTGTTCATGTTTTTTATTAGACAAAAGTTAAATGTAAAATATAAAAATTCTGTACATTAATAAAATATGGAAATTAAATAATTCGATTAGCTAAGAAGAATTGGAATGATAGTAAAGAAGAAATCAGTATATACCCTGTGACAATGCAATGAGCTGCTGTCACTAGCCAACGTTCAGAAATAAGGGTAGCTCCACACATTGGTTCCCCAAGATAAAGCAATGACACAGACCAGGGCCAAGTATAGCGCCGGGCTAAATCCCCTCCAATAATATATTCTTGATATTTTATTGAATGGTGTCGATTTGTGCCACAACCTGGAAAAATAATAGAAAACATACAATGCAGAGAAATTGAAAGATATACTATCATTGATCTCAATTTTGGATTACCCCATTTATAAGTGTGAATTATTTTTTGATTAAGATGACATTTTAAACTGTTTTTATCTTCCATCAGATAAATACATCTTGGCATAAAATTTGAAATTTTACCAAATATAAGTTAACATAAAAACAAAAAGTACATTTTGCCTTCCAAAACTATTGTTACTTTTATGCCTTTCAATAAACTACATCCCTAAGAAAAGCTTTGATAGTGACAATCTGAAAAATATAGGACTTTGATTTTCAACCCTTACGATTATAAAGAACAAATATATTCATCAACAGTTTCTCATCTTACACATAATACAATTATTAAAAATAAATTTCCATTTCAGCCTATTTCATAAAATCTATTAGAACTATAATGAATAACCACTAATTGTTGCTGCAATTATGAATGAGAATTCAATAAACATGTCAAAGAAAAAGATTTCAGTTTCTATATTTGGCATATTTCAGTCCAGTTTGATGGAATTTACAATAATGTAACAAAGAGTCTTTTTTTTAGATAACATAAATGCAAAAATATTTTTCTCTATCATAACAATCTAAAAATGGACTGATTCCAATTGCCAATCTTTTCAACTGTTGAAACAAACCAAGGGTTTTTGTCATGCAAAGCAATTGATTACATCCCTCAGAGTTCAGTTTCAAGAATCTATCAACTAGGCAAATAACAAATTATAATTTTGTTAAGTTTCAAATTCATACTTACTTCTCTCATTGCATGCCATGCGAACAATCTTGTTTGTTTTACAAGTCCTGAAGAAATGAGCAGAATTACAATTATATATGCAAATAGATGATAAAAAGAAAATATAAAATATACTTTATTTTGATTAGCAAAATCTTTGTCTTGTATTTAGCAGCTTTTTATTTTTCTCTAGTAATCAATCAAAATATCTCTCTCTCTCTCTCTATCTATATATATATATATATATATATATATATATATATATATAATATATATATATATATTAAAGAAAACAGACCAATTTAAGGCTCCATTAGTTATAATTTATTTCACCAGAGAATTTTTTTCTCTGGATCTTCAGACTTCACTTTCAAAGGTAAAAAGAAAAAATGAATTTAAAATTTACACTTGTGAAGGGCAGTATTAAGCTTATATAAAGTGACATAGAGGGTGGTGAGGAATAGTGTGAGAGACATGGTCGAGTTTAGAGAGGGAAGGGAGAATTTTAAAATTTATTTTTATTACAATACTTAATATTGAGGAGTAGGGGATAAGGATCAGACATTGACCTATTTAATCGGTCAACTCAACAGAAATGATATGGGAAAAGAGAAAAAAAGGGGGAAAGGAAAACGGGGAAGTAAAGAGATAAGAGATGTACGTAGGATTTTTTGGAGGGAAGAGAGGGGTGGTAAAGCTTTACCAATTTAGATAAACACAGATTTTTACGTTTGACAGTAATTTAAATGTTTAAAAACTCCACAAAGAAATTAGATTTAATACTTGTTAGCAATTTAAATATTTAACTTCTCCACAAATAAATTAGGGATTTAATATAAACGAATATTATATTAATAAACAAATATAAAAAAAATAATAATTTACTAATAGTAATATTTTAATATTGTGAATGACTGTAAGGTAAAATCTTTATCAGTTAGTCTAATTCATGAATTTAATTTGAAGCTACTTTTAGATGGGTAATATTTCTTAATTAAAGTTTAGGTTTCAAATCTTGATGGAGTAAGCGTTGAAGGTAGTAGTAAAAAAAATTATTGTCTTTACATACACGCACTACATACATATTTACATAAATATACACATACATTCATATACAATTACATATATAACCACATACACATGTATCGATATACATCAGTATACATGCATATACATATAAAATTACTTAATAAACATATACATATTTCCACATACATCCATCTTTATACATCCTTATATGTGTGTAAATATCTATATATGTATGTGTATTCATAAATTTAGGTAGGTGTGTCTATATATCGATTTATGTGTATGGGTTTGTATATATATTTGTGTGTATATATATATATATATATATATATATATATATATATATATACACACACACAAAAATTGTATATGTGATGTATATGAATATATGTATAAGATATAGTTGTATGCATAGATATGTATATATGGATGTATGTTTGTATATATAGAGTTTTAATGGAAAGACAATATTTTATAAGTTCACATTCTCGCTATTTTTTCTATCATCACTTCAATCACTTTTTACTTTCAAAACCATCAGAGATAAGAATAGATTTTCTGACTAATGAGAGAGCTGGAAAATATAAAAAGGAATTCGACCACCATAATTCTTTCCTTGGTGCCATAAAGTCCGGGGGAAACATCACAGCTTGTTCACTCCAACCTGTTTTCATTACCTTCAAAACCGGTTCCCAGGGCCCTGATTCTTATCAGAGATAAGAATATATTTTCTGACCAATGAAGGGGCCAGGAAATTTGTTCAACAATTTTGGAGGGAAAAGTCCCCGATTCTTCGGAGCCTATTAAATCTCCATAAATTTGGAGAATTCAACCACTGTCTATGAGGTTGACAATAGAAAGCACAAGTCAACCACTTTCAACCAAAGGAAAACTACCTACAAAAAAAGGCTGTCGAGAACAAACATTGACCCACTACTAAAACTCAATTGAAAGCTGCATCCCTTCACCACTCCTTCTACCATGCACACTGGACTTCTGTCGTCGACCTACGAACTCACTCAACTGCAAGATTCCTATATCTACCAACATTTTCCTACTCTACAAGCACTGTGAGTGTTTCTAAAACTTAAAATTCTACTCACTTAAAGAACTTTTTAGGCGCTCAGAGAAATATTTTGAGCAACCCTTTTTTCTGTTATGAACATTTTCTCTTCCCTTAAAGGATATTTTCACTTTTCCCTTTCTTTCACTCTTAATTATCTTTATCCCTTTACCCTTTTTTTCTGTATATGTAAATAAACACTTTCTTTTATTGTTACACACCAAGCAGGAATTTTTTCTTTATTTGTCCACACCTAAAAGAGAGTTTGTCCGCTCTAATCTTGCTGTTTTTACTTGCTTTTGTCATAATTTTTTAACCTCAACCCAATTTTTTAACCTAAACCCTTTGATGCGGGAAAGCCGGAACAAACTTTCTCGCAAGATTTAAATTAAAAAATATATATATATGTGTGTGTGTGTGTGTGTGTAAAACATTAAATATTTGAACAGTCAAATGATACATTTATATGTATGTACATGGATGTTACATGTGTATGTGTTTTTTGCTTTTTTATAGAGAGGTTCACCCTGTACAAGGCCCATGGGCCACTCAAGATAGTGTTACAGAGTAAGAGGCACAGTTTATGTGGATAGGTGGGGAAGGTAATGGTTAATGCTAAGATTGTAGTGATTGGGGTAACATCCTCTTGGGAGTTAGTTCCACAGAGCAGTGGTTTGCAGGAAGAAGCTGCTTGAGTGGAACTTCCATCTCACCCAATGTAATACAGAGGGGGGAATGAATGGGGTTTGCTACAATGTGAATGGCATAGCAGAAAATCGCCCTCATCTGAGCACTTTCCATGGAAGTAGTGATAGAGCAGTGAGAGAGACTTGCTACATCTCAGTTATGAGAGAGAGGTTGTAAAGACACAGAGAGGCTTTTAGACCCCTGTCAAAACTGGAAAGTGAAGACTCAGCAGCTCTTGTCCAAATATGTCAGCAGTACTCCATTTTAGGCCTGATCTGGCTTTTATAAAGGTAGAGGATAGCATAAGGAGTTAGGTACTTACAAGGAACCAACCATTTTTCCTTCATCTTTAGTGATGGGTCATATGTATGAGTTTCATTGAGATCTTGTGTGAGTGTAAGACCCAATAGTTACTCAGGGCATGGGCCTCCCCGAGGGAACATCCATTCATTGTGATTGGTGACAGTTCAGTTTAGTTTTTGAGGCATTGAATCTAACCAGGCAGTTTTCCTCCACTGAGATATTAGAGCTAGATAAGGAGAGATCAGCTGCCAATCTCTGGTCATCAAGAGTTTTGAAGGTGCACCCATATATCATATCATTGGCATAGAGGCAGACCATTTATGTAAAGTAAAAAGAAAATTGGTCCAAGAAGTGACCTCTGGGGATGCCTACATTGCTTGCTTTAGGGATCTACCTGTTAGGAAGGGTGTCATCATAAATTTAATTAGTATAAACATAAAATAGACATAAATGCACAAACATCAGAATAAAAAAATGAGAGGTCTCTACTTGACTTCATCACAGCCTGTCAGAAAAATTTTGTAAACACATAAGTATAAATGTAAATAAAGATCTGATTTTATTTCACAATAATAAGATAATTGATAAATGGATATTTGAATGCAAAATGCTACATTCATAAATTTAACAAGAATTGTGTTGAATAAAATGAAACCTCATTTAATGAAGGAGTGTTCTTTTTTAATAAAATCTTTTATTTGTTATAGTGTTTAATAATTATAGCAGGATATATATATATATATATATATATATATATATATATATATATATATATATATATATATACACACACAAACACTAAGTATGTATTTAATTTACAATTATTATAATTCAAGAAACTTGCTTAATACTTGCCTAGTTGTTTTGATAAATTCTTGCTCTGGATATTCCAATTCATGACTGGGCACTTGTTGGAAGGCAGTTGTCCCAGGAGGAGGATCCACAAACTCAATCTTTTTAACATTTCTGAAAGGAAAATAATTTATTTAGGTTATAAATTAAACAAACCTGGAAAAAAAATTCCAAGCAAAATGTTTGAAATAATTATAGAAGAGTGGAGATCCTGTGATATACAGAACCTACAAACATGCACAAGGACGTTACAGTATTCATTTTTGTTCAATTGGTATACAGAACCTACAAACATGCACAAGGACGTTACAGTATTCATTTTTGTTCAATTGGTATACAGAACCTACAAACATGCACAAGGACGTTACAGTATTCATTTTGTTCAGGTATACAGAACCTACAAAACATGCACAAATTGACGTTACAAACATGCAGGGGTTCATTTTTTTTGTTCGGTTTTATACAGAACCTACAAAACATGCACAAGGACGTTACAGTATTCATTTTGTTCAATTGGTATACCTGAACCTACAAACATGCACAAGGACGTTATAGTATTCATTTTGTTCAATTGGTATACAGAACCTACAAACATGCAGAGGACGTTACAGTATTCATTTTTGTTCAATTGGTATACAGAACCGAAAAACATTCACAAGGACGTTAAATCAGTATTCATTTTTGTTCAATTGGTATACAAAGAACCTATTGAAACATGCACAAGGACGTTTACAGTATTCATTTTATTTTAAATTGTCTATACAGAACATGCAAACATGCACATTTGGACGTTACAGTATTCATTTTTGTCAAATGACCCACAAAACCTACAAACGTGCAACAAACAAATCAGTATTCATTTTTGTTCAATTTATATACAGAACCTAAAAACATGCACAAGGACGTTAAAATATTTATTTTCTTCAATTGGTAACCAATGAAAAGTAACTGGCTTCAAAACTTTACTTTTGTATATAAATTATATTGTGTGATGTATTAGTTAATATGACCCTGCTTCAATTCTGAACTTTTTAATTCACTTTAGAATATTGTGAAGTATGTATTTAGCACTGAAAATGGTAAAGCATACAGCATATTTAGTATAATTTGTTATATATTGGGCAGTTTTTCTATCAGTGGCCAATACTATAGATAGTATGGAGTACTTTATAAATGAGACTATATATAATTGCTGTGGAGATTGCTAGCATTTAGATCTGTTCAATGCAAATTGCACACATGTGAATATGTCCAATAGAACTGAATGCAATGTTGTAGAACTCTCTAGAATGTTCTAATGCCACTGCTATATAAGCAATGCAATTGGAGTGGTTTGGTTGTCTTTTTGCCTTTGTCCTTGATCATCATACACATTTGGAGAGACAATTAATGTATTTGGATTATTACTGTGCTTTCTCTGTGACTGAATGAGAGAAACACAACAATAATTTATAATCATTTCATATTTTAAAGAATATTATGCAGTATATCATATATTTAATTATAAATGTATTAACAATAATCTGCTGATGTGGTGTAGATTTGCTTAAAAATAACAATTCTATTTTAATGTTTCTATAAATTTGCTAACATACTTTCTATTGCTTTATTAAATACCATAATTTTTTAAGAAATTCTGAAGTTCTATTTTTTGTGTCTTTAATTGTCCTTTATTTATTTTGTTAATGTAAATTAATTCTTTCCTATTTTAAAAGATTAATTATATTTCTAGATAAACAATCTGAAACTCTTTTGTCTTTTTTATCTAAAGTTAAAATATAATATTTGCTATAACTATAATAGACTTTATTTTAAGGAGAATGATTAAATTATAAATGAACTGTTTATGATCAATTTTATGAGCAACTATATTCTGTTATACTTACTTGTGTCTGAGGTATTTACAGATGAAAGAGGCCCATTTCATTGACCATTTGTTGCTACACACCATACTTGTTTGCCCTTGGACAGTCAATGTTAGGATTGCTGTGGAATTTGTACGAGATTCTTCCTTTCTTAATGAGACTGAAAAAAATTAAATTATTATAAACTATACTTTCTATTTTTAAATGGAATACAAAGTGATTTTTTTTTTTATAGGAGTGGGTGCTATTGGGTGAAAATTTTGGATTGTATTGCTTATTTTTTCTTTGAGTGTGTGAGTAAAAATGGAAGGTATGTGTGGAGCCTTGTGCAGATGACAGAAATTTAGTTTGGGTTAGTTTTTTGAAAATTCACATGGCCAATGGTGAAAATTAGTGTCAGAATCAGAAGAAGATCTGGTTTTTAGGAAGGATGAGGAAAGAGGGCCATCAACACAGTGTTATTTGCATATGCTCTATATTTAATATAGAACATATGCAAATAATACTGTGCTGATGGCAGACACAGAAAGAATACTGAAAGATCTCATGAACAAACTAGTAAAGGAAATCTAGAAGAAAGGCCTATTAACTGTAAGAAGACAGAATGCAAGACTTTCAGATTTTAACTATGTATTAGGAACATCAAAGTTATACTGATTAGTATAACAGATGATGGAAAATGTGACACAGAAATCAAAGACATATAGGAATAGTGAAATATGCCTTCCAGAAATTAAGCAAAATATAAAGAGATAGGAAAATTTCATCAGAAAGAAAGAAAAATGTTTTGACGTGCTATGTAGTATATAATCTATATGGCAATGTATAATGACCAGACTCTTCTCACTGATGAATAGATGATTTGATACAATAGATTTTACTGACAGATACTGAGAATATGATGGACTGAACATGTAAGCAATGAGAATTTTTTAATGAAAACAGAAATAAGAATGACATTTAAGTTTACAATCATAAATAGACAACTGAAATTTCTGGGATACAGAAAGGTCTGAAGAATTTCATACTCATAATTAGATGGCAAAATACTGACACAGAGCATGGTACAGACCCATATGTTACTTAAATCTCAAAAGACAAGAATTTGTGGAGAGCCATGATTGCACATACCATTAAGGCACACTACACATAAGAGTTCTGTAAATAACCAATTATGCCCATTCTTATATAGCTTTTCTTAATCTCAATAGTTTAACAGGATAAAATGATCCCAATATGATAAGCCATCTTTGTTAAGAACTGGAAAAACAATGTTTTAAAGAGAACTAAAGGAAACATAAGGGTGGATCAATAATTCTATAGCCTGTGATCAAAATTTTTCATATTCAATTTATATGATTAGAGATGCACTAGACTAAGTGCACTGACAAGTAATTAGATTATTTCATAAATAAAGATTTATTGTGAAAATAAATGCTTTTTAATCCCTAGGCTAGAGACTTATTGATTTGTCTGTATAAATGTTAAGTAAGGATTGTCAGCCCATGATTGTCAGGTTTACAAAAGGTAAATCTTTTTCAATCATCTGACATGAAATAGGCCAAATTTATGATTAACTGAAAACACAGATTTCTCCTTTTACAGAACTGAATAAATGAAAAGGTTTTCCACCAAAACTATATTCTATTCCAAAATATTGATACTTCTAGAAAATCTTCAAAGATTCTTCTGTCAAATACTTCAAGAAAATATTCTATCAAAGATTCAGGATAAATCAAATCTTTAATAACCTACTGACAAACTCAAATCAAGTTTCTAAGCTACTTGATAAAAAATGTTTTTGATTATTTTTATATTTGAATACCCATATCTGGTCTGGCCTTTTTCAAATCAGCTACATGTGCCATAAGTTAAATAGAAATATAATTGCTTGCTAAATCTGTTTCCAAATCAATCATTTTTGTACATGAGGCAAAAACCATAGGAATTACAGTTATTCCCCTTAGTTAATCAATATTAATTCGAATATGCAGTGATAGTACATTTTCCCAAGACAGCTTTTTCTATAAAAGGCCCTATGATTTGATGAACATTTGACTAAGAGACAGGAATAAAAATTAATATCTTAATCTTAATGACAGAAATAACAAGATAAGTTTTTAAGAAAAATGACTTTGTAGAACCCTAATTCTACATTATTCCAATACCCCAAAATAGTTTGGTCAAATCTGTGCAAAAAGTGGATCACAGAAAACTTTCAACTTCATACACTTTCAAAAAATCTCGAGCCCTCATAGGTTAATAAATATACAAGTAAGTGTGACTACCCACCCACGCTTAACTAATTTTTACAGCTCATGACTGAAAGTAAATAAAAACAGAAACTCATTCACACTTGCCAGTGAGCATTGTGGCATCAAACGAATTGCAACTAAACTTTACATCACACAATCTTAAGTTTTTTGTTCATACGAACATTATACAAACTTAACGATATTCACACTCACTCACCAAAACTCACCAGTGAACTTTATTCCCATTCACTCACCAAATTCCTTACACAGAAGTTAAACAAATTCCTGCTAACAAATCAACTTTATTTCTTAACATTCAGGTATTGTATTACACAAAACAATCTAAGATAGATAACTTCTTTTGATCAAAAATTGCATTCAACATTACAAACATTTACTACTTACATGAACAGTAAATTCTTAAATGTAAATTTTTTTTTGCAATTAATTTATAAGAATTAATAACAGATTCTAACAAATATCCTTTCAAATCAGAATTCATTAACAAAAATTTAATCTTTCACCAAAACTTGAGTTCAAATAAACTCAACAAGATTTCACCTAAAAAAATCCACTATATTTTTTGTAAAATATTTTCATTACAAAAAATATATTGAAAATTACTCGTTATTCAAATGTTTGCCTTTTTGTCTTGTATGACAAATATTTCTTGTTGTTTTCTATTGTTTTTGCATTTTGCTTAACATATTTATAGAGTAAAAAATTGTATGGATTAATTTGGATTAATTTGGGCCACAACACCATTAAATAAATGGTATTCACCAAACTTTCCACTACAACTTCATTTACTAAGTATGCAAGTGAGTTGACTTACCACATGTAGCTTCATCTTCTCCATCCACACAGTCCCACTTCATGTCACAGACCTTAGCACGTTTGATACACTTGTAGCCACGTGTACAAATAAACTCATCAGACTTGCAATTATCTGAAAGAGAAAAAGTAATCCTAACCTGGAGAGAAAACTTTTCCCATTTAAAAATCAAAGACTCTTATTCTTCTGATTTGTATTATTATTATTTACGCATTCTGAGCAAGAAACAGAGTAGGCATATTTTCTCTTACAAGCAAATACTCATGCTTAAAACAAAAGTATTTATCAAAACGTGCGTGTGTATGTGTGTGTGTGGAGAGGAGAGATATAAAAATGCAAAAGTCAGTTATAATTATGCCCCAATAGGGAATGCTGAAATTAAAAATTTTTTTAGACGTGTTTGGGCATGTTGTCTAGCCAATTTCCTTTTGCTTTTGTTCACAATGGAAATTAGAATTAGTTATACATTCAACATTTGAAGAGTTAGAGAACTGAGAGATAATAAATAATCATGTTACAAACTACTTTAGAGTAATTTGCATTTACTCAACCCCCCACAAGGACAGGTTATGGTACAAGGTCTGTTTAATGCATGGAGCCAAATAGTACACCTAGTCTAGGAACAAAAACTACCCACAGCACCTCACATTATAATTTTCCTCAGTTATGACTTTGATAGTGTATTTGTATTATATATTATCTACTTGCAGGCAATATCACTCTTCAGGTTTAACTAATTTGCATATTGATTTTAAAAAAATTATTTCATTACTTAGCTGGCCTTGATTACTGTTCTTTTATTCAAGGATAGTTTTGATTTTCATATCAACAATAGTTATATTTAGGAATATTGTCTTATATAGTGTAGAAAAGTGTTTTAAATTTGCATTTTACTTGAACTTCAACAAGGTGGCATCGATTTGTAAAACTTTCCTTAATTATAACAAGACAATTTATGAATGAAATATTCATTTAAAATTTTTGTTTCAAATATTTCAAGTAGTAAATATATCTTACTTTGTGAAGTGATAGTGAGTGGGTGAAGCCTGCTAATATATATATGTGTGTGTGTGGTATAAAATTTTGGTATATTTATGGGAGAAAATTGCTAAGTAATTAAATTATTTCATAAATGAAGATTTATTGTGAAAATAAATGCTTTTTAATCACTAGGCTACAGACTATTTCAAAATATAGATACTTCTAGAAAATCTTCAAAGATTCTTCTGTCAAATACTTCAAGAAGATATCCTATCAAAGATTCAGGATAAATCAAGTCTTCAATAACTTACTGACAAATTCAAATCAAGTTTCTATGCTACTTGATAAAAAATATTTTAGAATATTTTTGTATATTGGAGATAGAACATTTGCAAATATAGACAATGTAGAAATAAAATTCAATATGGTGAATGGAAGTAACACAATTCAAGTAATTTTCAGACCAAGATCTGGAGATTGCTTGAGATCTGAAACAGACATTCAATATGCAGTGTTGATTCTTATATATGTGTGTGTGTGTGTGTGTGTGTGTCTCAATGACACTGGTCATAAAAGTTTGGCAGTTGGCTGGCATGCACAGAATTGAAACAGAAATCCATAAATACATGTAAAAAAACTATTACAGTATGGACAAATAAAGGGAGCTAAAAGGTCACAACATAAACGAAAAGTGCATTTTAAGGATTCATGCTGGGAATATCATGGACTGAAAAGAAGGACAAGTCATTCACATCTTTTAAAATATAATCAAGATAATTAGGTGGGAGAGTAATGCTAGTGTTTGATTAAAATGGAGGAAACATATTTATAAGGGAGCAAACTTCTTTCAAGAAAACAGGTACAGGCATACGAAAGTGAAAATTGCTGCAAGAAATGGACTGTCAATGAATAATGACAATACACTTTTTGCATGTGATATTTGTAGCCATGTCTGCCTCTCTGACCAGCCATATACATAGTCATATACTAAAACTTCCAACTGACTACATGAACCTAATTTCTCTAGATTTATCCTACCCAATTTGTAATAAATTATGTAGTAATAGGTCCAGATGAGCTAAACATAAAATTTCACAATAGGAATGCACAATCCAATAAGCAATCAAAACAAGAGATTTTGTGCCATCTTTGTGAATAAATGTAAATCCATTGTAGGGCTTAATAGCCATTGTACATCACACAGATTAGAGGTCACTTGTATTTTATTTACTTTAATTTTTATTGATTTTATTTAAGTTTTTTCTTTCTAACTTAATAATCCAT